TCTATCATTAGACAAAGGCAAAAGATGCGTAGGTATATTCTTAAATATAGCAAAAGCCTTTGATTCTGTACCGCATGACTTGCTCTTGAAAAATCGAAAGCAATATTATTATTCAGTATATTTTGGTTTTGGTTTAAGTCAAATATCTCAAATAGTTCTCAAACAACAAGAATTAATGATGTTACAAGTGTTCAGGGAAGTATGGTTTACCACAAGGGACAGTACTAGGTCCGATATTATTTAGGTACTATTTATGTCAATGATAGTTTACTAGACTGATTTACTAAATTTAGATATAAATGGCAATTTACTAGCATTTGGTGATGATAATGTTTTATTTGTTGAGGGAGGAACTTCGGCTGAAGTGGAAAAAAAAGCGAACTCAGGATTATTATTTTTAAATAATTGGAATGATGCTAAAAATAGTTTAATGATAAATAAAGAAAAATCAGTCTTTATTCCATTCGACTTATCCCATACGAACATACCTGAACAAATCACAATGAAATTACTCACATAACAATAATTGTAAAAATAATTCAACTAATAAATGTAACCCAAATGGTAGGTATTTATCTAGAGTTTGTTCAGTCAAATATTTAGGTGCCCTACCTTATGAGCGATTATATGGAAACCACAAATTGAAATGGTGATAATGCTTTTAAGAAAATGTTTTTTATATTTAAAGAGCTACGAAACATTTTAGACAATTCAAAACAAACAATACTATAAGGATCAGCTTATAAGAATGTATTAGAACCATTAAAGATAACTCAAAAAGCGCTAATAAGAGAACTATTGAAAAATTATTATACTTCCCAAAATTATAGAACACATGATTTATCTATTAAAATTAAAATATTAACATTAGATCATTTGTATGACAAATTATCAATCATTAAAGTTTTCAAGAATAAAACTGATTATGAATATTATAATACATATAACACAAGAGGAGATAATGTAGTGGTAATTTAAGATTGTTTAAACATAGGTACTACAACATTGATGAACAACTATTATACAAATAAAGGCATACAATTTTAACAAGGAACTACCTGATGTCCTGATGTCCTGATGACATTAAACAAATTGATAATACAAATAAATATAAATTAGCAATTCAAAATAGGTGTATGCGATTATTTGACTTGTGTCTCATTCTTATAAATTGAATGTCTACTTAGGTATGTATTATTGACTATTGTGGTCTTTTACAATAAGTTATGATGTTTTATAATTATGTTACTATGTTGGTATTTAAATTATGACTATATTTATTAATTATGTAAATAATTATGTAATAGACTATCTACTCCCACCAAAAGCTTTGATACAGGGAGTAGATATCAATATAATATGGAAATATGTTATTGTAAATATTGCCTATATTCATTGAAATATTAAATAAATAAAATAAATATACGAAGAACAACACGTAGAATATAATATAAGTAAAATCGGTGATGATATGATGATGATAAAACAATTCTGTTGGTGAAAGTACCAGACAGCAGCTGATAGAACGACAGTAACAACAGCTGCCGCGGTGGCGATGTGGTAGCACGGCGACAACAATATGATTGCTACTGTGGCAACGGCAGCGACAGGTCAATGCCCTTACGGCGGCGGTGGCGGCGGCGATATGCGATCACAGACACAGACACGTTATAATAATATTGGTCGACGGCAACCACGAATTTCGACATGGCGGGAAGGGGAGATTGTTAATTCCGCCCGAAATGAACAGGTAAAAACAAGGTCTACGGTAAATTTAGCCCGAAAAAATATACAGGTACAAAAATAGTTCCGCCCGGAAAAATAAATATTTTTAAACTAAGCGTTCCGTGACTGTACGACGCGACCAAGGGCGCACCCAAGGGGGTGGCTAACGGGCTTTAGCCCCCCCCCCCCC